AAAGTTGCAGCATCCTTATGTAGCATAAGGTTTTTTGTCTGAATTTGAATCACTTACAAATTCTATTGAACCAAAAGCTCTAAAGGTTAAAAACCTTAATGATGTGATACAGTTCAGACAGAACAGATTTATTGGATAGGGGGGTTATTTGATCAGCCAGAGATTATCCTGCACTCAGGGTGCGAACTACAGGGGATCGAAGGGAGCTACGGGCTTACCTTTAATAACATATGAGCTCCCCTGAAAAAACGATTTGGAAATTTTGGGGGGTCTCTTTAATATTGACAATATGCATGCATTCCTATCTTTCTGTATCTTTATCATCATGGATAATGCATCAAATTAGACTATTATTGATGCATGAGGGTGATCTACTTCACTAAAGATACATCATTATTGAAGCCTGGAATATCATAAACTTCACTCACTGTAAAAAGCAAACTTTATTATTAGTCCCACTTAGTCTGTGAGCCAAATTGGCATTTTTTTATTGCTCTGTTTTGTATTCAATGTACTATGAGTTAGTCAGTCAAGCCGGAAGTGGTCACCAACGATGTTACACTATTTTAGATTTGGATGAAATTGTTGCCAGATCTGTTTGACATGCCATTTGAGGGGGGTTACAAAGCCTGAATAATGGCCTGAACCATCAGCGATCCGGCTGTCAGACGATCGGTTGAATTTCTGGTCAGAATATTTGGTCGGCTGTCTGCAGTTTGAGCAGGTCTGATTTCCCACATCTCTGCTGTCTAAAGATCAGTTATATGTAGTGAGCTTCTTATAATGTTATTGGAGTAGTATCTTACATGGTGTGGCTAAAAAAATGTGTCTGCAGCTCAAAATTATTATTTTCTCTTCTTACTGTGTCCATAGTAGAATTGCAAGTAATGCTACCTTATTCTCTTTCTAGTCAACACTGTTGAGAATTGAGCCATCTGGTTTCAATAAACTTTATAGGAATTGTCACTGAACAATACCTGTGGTTGTTTTGGACCACTTCCAGGTGTGAATGTGTGTAGCTGAGCGTGAACAGGACGTTTAATAAAAAAAACAGAATTGCTCTCAGCAAAGTTTCCCTGGTTAATTGAGTGTTTAAAAACACTCAATGAAAAAGTTCATCCCTCACTTAAAATGGAGCTTGTCTGGTGGCTCTTTGCATTCCAGTTTTTACTCTGCGAGTGCGGTTGTGGAAATAGGTCTCTGCCATGGATTTCTACTTTGAGATTTGTTAAACGTTGCCTCATTATTTAGTATAATGTATTTTCAGACAGAGGGTGGAAATTCCAAATCTGGCATTTATTGATAATGTTAAAAAGTCTCACATAGACCTAGCTCCACAGCAATGTGTCAGCTTTGGAGAAAGGTCTGGCTGCACCCACTATCATTCTGGTATAGGGGGGAAAAAAACTCTCTTCCTTTCCATTTGTATTTACTGACTGGGGTACCTGCAGACCCCAGAAGTATAGTTTTTGTCTCACAGCAGACACAAATGCTTTGTCTTTTTTAGTCTTACACAATTTGCAAATGAATTGTAGAAGGTAACAGCAACTGCTAGCTCATTTACATTCATACCATTAGGGTCCAGGTTAGGGTAACTGGCCATTTTTAGTGTGTAGATATGCATTGTCCAAAAACCACATATCCGCATGTGAAAAAAGCAAGCTCATCATTCTGATTTCTTTCCTTTAATCTGAAGACGTATGCCTGAAGGTGTGGAGTAGTGTACAACAACAGCCCTGATAACTTACATAACCCTGTACAGTGTGTTGTAAAGGATCCTCAATTATGTAACAGGCCTTTTCTGACATGCTTTAGTCTCCCATTTGAAAAGGTTCACACTCATGGCTTTGCATCTCAAAGTAAAGCTGCCAACTCGGACTTTAGATTTAATATTCTCAGGATCCAGATGAGCTCCCACAGTGTAGTAGTTCTTTTAAATAAAGTATATGTCTCAAACAAAGCTGGCCTCTCTTAAGATAACCACCTCTTAATATACAAATCTCCTTAGACTAATTCCAGACATTTCCAAGCATGAAGAGATGGAAACATGAGAGAAGCAGAGAGCTGCAGGCAAAGCGAAATTAAAGTTGGATAAAGAATGTGTGTATGAGAGACAGGGTTACAGAGAGAGAGAGAGAGAGAGAGAGAGAGAGAGAGAGTCTTGTCATGTACCAATATAAAACAAACACAAAAGACTGAGGGAGAGGTTGAGTGGCTTTGATAGAGAGAGCGATAGAGCTGCTTCAGATATTTTCAGAAGTTTTCAGATGTTTTAATCTGAGCAGCGGCTGGTTGACATGCTGCTCTGTATGTGTGTGTGTGTGTGTGTGTGTGTGTGTATGTGTGTTTGTTTCTGTGTTCATGTATTGTGCCGGCCAGATGAGATGATAACCTATAGCAAAATGACTTGATAGCACAGAGCAGAACGCCTTTCCATCTGTGGTGTAATCCTGTGTGAATACAGTGCACATTCTGATAGACTACATACTGATGCTTCTTTGAACTTGATTGTCACTTTAAGGTTTGGATTTGTGGATCAAAGATACACAAACATCTCTAAATCTTTCAAATCTGCAGAACTGGTTTGAAATTGGAGCACTTCATAATCACAAATAGTAGTTTTTATGATACAATCATAATTTCCTTAGTTATTAATGTTTTCCTTGTATTTTTGAATATTTAGTTTTGTAACTCAGAGAGCAAAAGATGTATAGAGTTAAATATTATTTTAGTATCAGTCTTGTGAAACACAGTCATTGAAAGAAAAACCCACATATAATATTAATATGCCAAAGCTCTCATATACTACTTAATATATTTAAATTTATAAGAACATCATTTCTAAACGTCTATTGAAAATCATGTGTTGGTCCTAAGTGACTTAAACCAGCATCCACCCACCAGCATACTAGATGTGGAGTAAAAAAATTTATTCAGCATTCACAGTCACTAGTATTCATTACATGATTACCTGCTTTTAATGTATTTTCTAATTAAAAAATATATTTCTTATATAATCTATTAGATTTAAGACTATGTGTGTAATGCACACGTCAGTCCAATGTGTATTTCTTTATGCCTGGGCGAAGCAGAAACTGACACTGACACTGTTTCCTCTACATACTTTTGAACGATACAGCGGTCAAATTAATGTAAAATGACTCCACTTATACCTGTTTAGTTTATTGATAACTAATGTAAAGAAAATACTAATAGCCAATTGACCTTAAAAGGCAGCTTAAGTAAAAAAAATAAAAACTTTAGTAGTTTTCATATCATTAACAAAAGCAAAAGGAAAGGAGAAGTTAAAGGTATAGTTTTTTTTTTTTTACTAAATATGAAGTTGGAGTCAGTGAGTGTAACATAAAGATTCAAACAGAGGAAAACAGCTAGCGTGGCTCTGTCCAAAGGCTTAAGAGAATTATTATTTTTTCTGTGCAAAGTGTAAACCCAGGTCTTAGCTAACCGGTTGCTGCAGGAGCTTCATATTTAATGGACACGACAGTGGAATCGATCTT